ATTATTTTGTACATCCAGATTTCTTATCATTATCAGATTAAAAGCCACCGCAATGTGCAGTGAATCGATCTGCGCCCGCGAAAAACTACACCATTCAAGCCGCCCGAGAAACCAAAAAGCCAGGCCAACGTGTTCCAACATAGTTTTCGGAGGCTGCAACATCTATCATGCATCTCTTTTAGATTATCGGTTAGAGAACTGGATGTGCTGATGGGGTTGGACAGCACAATATCGTGCGTCTTTTTTTTTCGACTATAAAGCAGCATCCACCGTTTGCGATTCGCTCGGGACGTCAAACGAACACCTGGACGACCGCCGGCCCGATGGTCAGACTTCTTCACGAAAGCTCTGAACGAAAGGAATGATGGGCTTCGTGTCCCTCGAGCAAGGAGGATCCACTGGACCACCCTAGCACGCGACAGGGACGAATGGAGACGTTGCTGGCGAACGCTTGGGGGCAAATCGACTCCTCCATCATGAGATCAGGTTGGTCAGTGTGAGGTGACAAATGCAATCAGTACAAGAATAGCCCGAAAATCAATCAGACTATTTGAAAATACTCTTCCCGCTCTACAAAACCGTTGTTGTCGTTTTCTTCAAAATTGTAGCTGTACTCACGATCAGATATAGACCTTTAGAAGTTGTAAAATCCAGACGGCGTCTCCAACAGCATCTACAAATAAAGGGACACCTCAATTTTAAGTTCTTTCTGATTCCCATGTTTCTATTGAACGTTGCGTTGACCCTGACCCTATTACTTCCGCTTCAATTAAAACCATATTCGTTTCTTACAAATTCAGAATAATAAGGACTCTGAAAACGAGCATAATACTTTTTTATTCTATATCAGGTGATTTTTGCGAAATGCAATCAAAGTTGTAGAAATGACGGAGTGAACATCACTAATTTTATGTTTTTATTTTTTGCTGGCAACTGCTTGGTGGTGAAGAAATGAAAATGCAAGCGCTACATATTATGCTGCTCCAATCCTTACTGGGGGGGGGTGGAATGATAAGGAAAGTTGCTACTGATATGAAGGAGCGCTCCCCCAATGAGATACTAGCGTGAGCACAATGGTGCAGGGGCTCGCCTTACTCAACTGGCGTAATCTGGACGCCGGAACCCTTTTTCCTTGTGTGCACACTACATAGGCAGTAAGCAAACCAGCCCTTTTGGCGTTTCGGCTGGGACCGTATGCTGAATGTTGGGGAGGGGATGGGGTCCCCAACGGTCGACGGTTTACTTCAACTCGGTTGGTACGATAGGAGAGTACTGACGCAAGTGGTGCAGCTGGTCCAGCAGCTCCGCCAGAAGGGCTGGTTTGCTCACCCCAGGACTAAGCCTTGGAGAGGGGACGGACCCGTCCTCTCTTTAAGGCTTAGTTCTGAGGTAAGCACCAAATTGTGGCGGTTCTAAGGACCGAGTTGAAGTGGTCCGTCCACCGTCGGGGACTCCATCCCCTCCCCAACATTCAGCATACGGTCCCAGCCGAAGCGCCAAAAGGGCTGGTTTGCTTACGTCGGTTGGTATGGATGAGATCCAGGTGTCTTGTGGATTGTGAGCGGCAACTGGAGATATTGCCCATAAACATCGAAATATTCAGCCAAACAATCGTTGCCCTATTTGGAGTGGGTGGAGCGGTTGGTGGATTGTCGTCAGGAGTACTGGCTGATACAGCTGGTAGAAGAGGCTGCTTGCTCTACACGAACATTATTGCATTTCTCGCTGCTGCTTTTATGGGTACCGCAAAATACGCCGGCATTTACTTGATGTTACATCTCGGACGCTTCTTCATTGGATTTTACGTAGGTGAGGCACTTTTTTTGCTGACGCGATTCTGATTGGGTTAGAGAAATCCCTCGAATCAACCTTTTTTGTTGAAGGTATGTCGGTGGTCACGGCTATGTACCAGGTTGAAATCGCGCCCACAAACCATCGTGGACTTATCGGCTCATTTCATCAACTACTTATCTGCGCTTCCATTCTGTTTTCTCAGGTATGTTGTCGATTATGCACTAGGATGAATCGACGACCAGGAATCTGTCGCTCCCATTCAAAGACACATCCCAGGCAGAATCGTGTGAACTATCCTTAGGTCTGGAGGATAGACCTCTAGGGACAATCATAAATGAAACTCCCGTTCATGGAAATTGCCCGACAAGGGCCCAAGGGCCTTGCGGAGACGGCTTCAACAGCTTCACTTCTCCCCTGCAACAGGCTATTGCATGGCGCCCTCTCATCTCTTGCGCTGTCTCGCCTCATACACTCTTCTCCACGATCAGTTTCCCATTGCCTTAACACACGCAGTGCGCAAGTGAGCGAGCCCTCGACCTGTACATCCATCGACAGACTTGTACTCCTTTTTTCTTTCACCTGCCATATTCGCGCAAAACCAATTGCCTTTCGTATCAAGTTACAAAAAACCAGTTCATAAGTTTTCTTACTGGCATAATATTTTAAGGCGTGAAGTAAGGAGCACTCGTACATATTTGCGGTCGAAAGTACATCTTCGAAAAAAATAAGGGCATTAGTTTTTTTTTCGGGAATTTTCGAACATTTCCAGAAACTCTCGCTAAAATTTGAAAATTTAACGAAGACTCTGGGAAGGGGGTATCAAATCGTATAACTTCGTATTTTTTCGTCCTTCTTACCTTCTCCTCACCCTTTACGCAATCACTCAATGATTTTTTTTTTCGAAAAAGTGAGCTATATACTGAAGACGGTGACCACGATGATTGGGGTTTTGCTGTTTTGCTGACGTCATGGAACGTGATGGGTAATACATATGCATACCTCGCACAGGGGCGTGGGGGAGGGCTGATGCTTGGAACGGGCTGTGACAACCGCTGCCCTCGCAGTTGCTTGCACTGGCCGGCACGAAGACCTCACCTCCCTCCGGTCAATGTGCTGCACTGCCTATTAATGAAGCGCTGGAAGTGAGACAGGAATTTATAGAGGTCTCGCTGCGGAGTGCGAAAGGGGTGGAGGTCGTATTGGCTACAAAATTCCTTTGACAAGTGACTTGGTGCACCATGTTACGCAGAATTCTCGAATAATACATATTTGCAGATCATGGGCCAATCCACTGCTGTTTGGTACTCCGGATAGATGGCCGCTCATTTTTGGCTTCATCGCAATACCTGCCATTGTGCAAGTCATCACATTGCCGATGATTCCTGAGTCTCCCCGATTCACTCTTTGTATCAGAGGTGAATTGGAGCAGGCCAGAGAGGACTTGGAAATCTTACGAGGGACAAGAGATGTGCGTTTTTGAGTTTTTCCTTCATATTGTTACCTCTGACACCTGTGTAAGGTCCCTGCTTCAATGTTGTAGATCGTCTCGGAACGATCCTCAAGGTATCAAGGCAATGATCAGTCGACACGTAAGCTTGAAAAAGAGCGTTCAGGGGACCGAGGTGTCCTCGAATCGTGGTTCCTGCTTCTATGATTTCTGCGAAAACCATCACTGACTGGCTGGTTGTCCTTTTCTGTTCATCTCAGAATCCTCCTCTTTCTCCTCGTCGTCCATTTTTTCTTGCCTCGCCCGTCTCCTAAACTCTTCAGCAGCCTAATGGGAAGGGGCTTCCTTTTTAGTTGTTTCTACTTTTTCTTTTCTCCCTAAAGAACCTGGCACGATGAATCTTGACTCTGGAGAAGGGAAATGCGTACTATAAAGAGATGCTGGGTCTCTAGAAGACAAAGCTGGCACTTTTGTGGCGAAAGGAGCGTCTCTTGGGATGTAGCAAGGATTTATCCGTCTTTTTGGACCCGCTTCCAATGACTGCTAAAGTTTCTAGCCATCTTAGCAGAGCGGCAGAGCAGAGCACTCACGTTGTCAGTGAGACTCGCGGAAATCAACAGTGAAGACATCTCCCGTGTTTTTTTTTCCTCACGCTCTTATTGCTAGCCGCTCCGCTTTCACACCCATCGGTCGGTACCAGCTGCCTTTTGTTGGCGGTCTACTTCACATCCCTAATTTCGCGTTCGAGTAGAGTCACAATATTAAGTTGTTCTAAGAGCATGACTTTAGATCTAATTTCAACTAGCCTTTAAGATGCGCAATATTGCAATTTTAGCGGAGTCATCAGTTAAGGGGCATATTTTTCAGGTTGGAGCCGAGATCGACAGTATGAAAGCGGAGGCGGCCGTACTATGGGACTCGTTATATGATCGACCATCTATGTTCGATATGTTTCGTAAAGAATTCAGACAACCGACGATTATCGTCATTGTCATGATGATCTTCCAACAGTTAACAGGTACACAGTGGTTGGCAATTTGAGAAGAGATTTTTGGGCGAAGTTGGAGTCGTGGGTCACCTTTTCTTTGACTCGAATATCTACCATAGACATAAAAAGGGATTATAACAATGTTCCCAAACTATACAGGGTGGGCAAAAATTACGGGTGTCCCCCAAGAGGCCCATCGCGCGGCGAAGGAAGAGACGCAGACGCGGCAAAGGACGAGTCGCAGCGCATACTGTAGCGGTTAGGCGTCAGGTTAAATAGAGTGTACCATACTACGTCTCATATCGCACAGCACGCGCTGCGACTCGTCCTTTGCCGCATCTGCGTCTCTTCCTTCGCCGCGCGATGGGCCTCTTGGGGGACACCCAAAAATTACCGTAACAAGAGGTTGCCGCTAGCAATTTTGAATTTGAAACACCAGGAGTTTTAATGTATAGTCTACGGATTTCTTTGATGATACATTTCTACGCCTTTTATTGCATCACATGAAATATAGCGATTGTATAAAGGTTGCTCGCCAAGATACTCTTCGAGTCGCCACGCGGTGTTACCTTTAAAGTTGAGCAAAGGCAACTTATTAACTATTTATTTGAATCTAAATAGTCCCACTAATATTGATCAGCCGAACCGTTGTCCTACGCGATATTGAAGAATATTGTCCCAGATTGAGCGGGTCCAATTGTGGCCGTTGAGCTGGACGGACGCGACTTGGTGTTGTAGTAGAAAGCTGGCGGACGTTGGAATCACCTCCTTTTATGCGGCTATCGAGCAGGACAACATAATCTAAAAAATATGATTGTCACAGAAATAGTCACCTTATATTTTGAGAAATTGTGTCTCTTCAAGCTAAAGCTAAATGTTCACAAGAGAAACAAACCCTATGTTTTGAGAAATTGTGTCTTTTCAAGCTAAGCTTATGGGAAACGTGCGTTTAGATACGAACGGTGATAAGCCGATCGGTGACTCACAGAAATCGAAGACTTCGTAATTGATTAACTGTAGCTTTTGCTACACTCCCGGGGCGGAAGAGATGGTATTGCCCAACTTTGACGCTTCATGCAGCTCTTGTCTGACGTCGTCGATGACGTTTCTTATCCATCCCTTCGAATTTGGTATAGTGCATAACGAACGGTGGTGGCCATTGTCTCTTGGATGAGGAACTTCAGTATTGTGTTTTTTACTATCCCACAATACCAACACGCCCTTCCTTTTTCACGGCATTCCACGTATGGATTGCACCTTTCTAGACAGTAGACACACCTGTCGTCTTGTAGGATGAGGCGGTATCGCTGGTCGCCATCGGGAAAGTCAGGGCATGAATCAGAGTAATGTATACCTCGTCTTCTGCAGAAGGCGCATCTGACCCAAGGCTTGATACCTGGTGAAGCTTTTCTGTGATTCGTCGTGTGGGGAGTAGACGTAGACCACGCTCCAAATCGTCGAGGTCTTTACCGATATCTTGAATTGAGCGCTTTTGTTGATAGTCGTCGTGTGAGCTTTCTTGACTATTGATCTCCTGCTCTTCGTTTTCTCCAGAGTTTTCACATTTTTGAGTATTGATCTCCTGCTCTTCTTCTTCTCCAGAGTTTTCACGAATTAGCTGAAATAAATAGTCTTCATCGGAAAGTTCTTGAGCGATTGAGCTTTCTTGTCGCTTCTCTGGTTGCTCTTCTGTGAAGCGATCTGGTCCATCTTGCGCCTCGATCTCCATATTGTGATCTCCAGGATCATCTTCCACTTCCACCATTTCGAAATCTTTCACTTCTTCTTCTTCTTCGGGTTTCACACAGGATCTTTCACACACGTCACTTGCAGATGGTTTTTGGAGATGACATTTACCCTCGTGAAGAGACTTCTTCGCTTCGCTTATCTCGAACTCGATTTCAGCGATAATGCTCTCGATTCTTAGTACGGTTTTGTCGGTTTTCACTATAACGCTACTCGTATCGATCCTTTTCTCCGCCTTTTCCCTCTCCCATTTCTCTTGAGCTTGTTGCGTGAACTTGCCAACTTGGCATAGCGTGAGATAAATTCCGTCAAGAAGCACGAAGCGTTGCGCGAGTCGTAGAAGGCTATCTCTTGTTGTGATGGCCGTCCTGAGAAAGGCATTGGTGAGCAGGACGAGCTCTCCCGGGTGGGCATCGGAACACGTGGTGGTAATCAGATGTCGAAGCCAGGATACATCCAGTTCCTTTGCTTGCTTATATTGCTCTTTGAGTTCTTGCCATGTCGAGCACAGATCGATTCTCAGATCTAGTGGAACTGGGTTTTGTTGAATATCAACAAGAAAGCGAAAATCTTTGAAGTAGAAACTTTCTTCTGGCATGATGTGGAATCTGAATCCGTGGGGTTGCCGATGCACCAATTATAGCGTTTGTATAAAGGTTGCTCGCCAAGATACTCTTCGAGTCGCCACGCGGTGTTACCTTTAAAGTTGAGCAAAGGCAACTTATTAACTATTTATTTGAATCTAAATAGTCCCACTAATATTGATCAGCCGAACCGTTGTCCTACGCGATATTGAAGAATATTGTCCCAGATTGAGCGGGTCCAATTGTGGCCGTTGAGCTGGACGGACGCGACTTGGTGTTGTAGTAGAAAGCTGGCGGACGTTGGAATCACCTCCTTTTATGCGGCTATCGAGCAGGACAACATAATCTAAAAAATATGATTGTCACAGAAATAGTCACCTTATATTTTGAGAAATTGTGTCTCTTCAAGCCGTAAACTTCAGTAGGAACGTTCGTTGAAATACAAGGTGATAACTGATAGATAATCACAAAATCGAGACTTCTTAATTGATTAAAACTTGTAGCTTTGTACATGAAATATATCAGCGCTGGAGTCAGCATTCTTCTAACTCTCCAAGAAATAGTCATTATTTCGCTCTAGTGAGCGGTTCGATGGTGTAGCATTGAAAGACGACTCAGAATCTCTTTGAAACTTCCGTCAACTACCATTAAAAAGTTGCTGTTCACTACAAAAGACCTGAACCCTGAAATTAGACTTGCGATCTGCACTGAATAAAATTTCGAAGATCATGCATGGAGGCTGAACACCGACACCCTCATTTCTATCCTCTGTAACTATTCAGCTTCGAAAACATTTGTCTTAGAACGGTAAAAGCAGAAAAATGTTAATGAGAAACCTTGTAGAACCTTAACCAGTAATTTGTTTTTGAAGGTATTAACGCTGTTATGTTTTACTCAACAATGATATTTGGACAAGTCGGTATGAGCGATCAAGACGCCATTATTGCCACTATTGTGGTCGGCTTTGTCAATCTCACAACGACCTTTTTACAAATGTTTCTTGTATGTAGAGCTTTTGATCTTTTACCTTTATCAACTGTTCCTATCTAAATTTAATCTACATGTAAATCAATTGCATAATCATCACAGCTCTTCGAATATCTTGAATGCGGCATGAGGCCTCTGAACTGGTTCCCCGTCAGGAGAGAACGTAGTGCAAAAAAAACAAGGAAAACCATCTAATTCTTGTGGAATAGCTCCTTGTTCCTGAATGGATTTCTATAAATAGAGCTAACGGATGCTTCCGTCGTAAAAGTGAGCACTCTGCTCTGCTGAAAGGGATGGTTCCTACGGCGAAAGACCAGGGACTGGGGCAGCGAATCAGAGGAGAGATCGGCCACGAAGGCAGTGCTCAACGCGAGAATGCCTTCTTAACACGTTGACGACAGCGCGGGTTTTGGGATTTTGCGCCGCGTGGGACCAGAGCGATTTTGCAGGCGCCGCCGCCTCACATCAAATCCGTGGATTTTGAGCTTTAAATTGCAAAATATGGGATGGAGCACATTCAACAGCCTCATCCCCATTCGCGGTAACAGGTGAACAAAACGTTAATGTTGTGCCTCCTGTGCGGCTTAAAATTGTGCGACAAAAGCGCTAGAAGCCAGCTCGACCTGCAATCCGTAGGCCGATGTCATAGTTTGCGAATCGAGGGATTCGCTAGCGAATCGTATGTACCAGCGACTCAATAGTGGCGGGACCCAACGTTCAAAGGAAGCCCGCCACTTTCAAACAGTGTCACGTGACAGTGGACCCTTTTTGAAAGTGGCGGGACTTGACAGTGGACACTGTTTGAAAGTGGCGGGCTTCCTTTGAACGTTGGGTCCCGCCACTATTGAGTCGCTGGTACATAGTTCGACTCGCTGGTGCAACGCCAGATCCACCGATTCGCTAATGAATCGCTCGATTCGCAAACTGTGATATCGGCCTTATTCGGAAATCCGCCTCCAATTTGCGCGACATTAGTCGTAGGCGTAGAAGTGGAAAACTGCAGTTACTGTTTTGAATTTGTCATGGCACCGCCTATAATTAATGCATAGGAGTGCTTTAAAACTGTGTATTCAAAAAGTATACACGGCACAGTTGGAGATATTCCCCCCCCCTGTTTTTGTTCTTTGGAGAGGACTAAAATTTGTTTCGAAGCACAGTTAATTAAACATTCATTATCTTGACTCAACTTCATTAAATAGTTAGTGAGTGATAATACATAAATTGTTTTCTTATTCCAGATTGATAGGCCAAACTGGGGTCGAATTCCGTTATTAAAAATGGGTACCATTGGCATGATAGCCTCGACTTTTTTGTTGGTGGTTGCTATTACAAATCTAGATCGTGCATGGGCACGGCTCTCAGCTGTGTTGATGGTCTTGATTTTCGTGTTTTCATTTGCTCTTGGACCAGGTGAGAATAGGTTATACATATTCGCTGAACTGTAGTACGGATATAATTTTACCAAGAACCTGTAGTCGTTTAAGGTTACGATTACCATAGTTAAAGGCAAAGTTCGGGCTCAGACCCACTTAATGAGCCTTTACGGTGGCTAGAAGCGCTAGGTACGCAAGTGTAGAGGTCGCGTCACTTCCCTACTTCGAAAAGCGTTACTTAGACGCTAGGCGCTAAGAACTTTGACACGCTCCACCTGTTGCGACACGCTCCGCCCACCGCTCGATATCTTGTCTGCGTCGCTTTGATCTGCTATGCTCTCTCTACTCGGACTTCTCTACCGCTCTCCGCGCTCACATTATCTCTCATCTCCCTGCCGGCCTTTTGAACTTCTCCGCAGCGTAGAGCAAAAGGCTCGTATTTCCTGTGTATTTCACGATTTTTTCTTTTTTTTCCACTGGCGGTCCACTCCTACCCCTACTTTCACATTTGAGTGGAATTACCTCATAATTTAATCCTGAATCTTGCCTTTAAAGATGGGTTTAGAGGAGACGTGGTGGTTCTCAATAGTACGAGAGAAAGTGGCGAAAAAAAGCAGAGAAATCGGTCGGAAAAACGCAAAACAACCCTCTTTTGGCAGGTAACGGCTCGGAAAGCTGGCGCAGGAACGTGTTCACCGCAACGCGCATTTGGTGGCACCATGCCAAACCACGCTTCAATCGAGATGTTCCAGTTCGTGCCGCTGCTGACAACGCAGCTCGTCCAAATCACCAAGTAAACTAATGGGCGGATTGCCCCAGCTACGTGTACCTAGGTCGGGAAATCAATATGATGAACGATCTAGCTCCAGAGCTGAGCAGGAGGAAACGAGCGGCTTGGGGAGCGTATAAGAACATCGAGGGAGTAGTGAAGAAGACGAAACATCCGGCTCCGTGCCCACCTCTTCGATTCCGCTGTCCTTCCTGCCCTAACCTACGCCTCAGAGACTTGGACTCTGCGCAGGCAGGACGAGCATGCGGTCAGCGTTATCCAACGCGCTGTCGAGAGGACGATGCTAGGAGTAACCCTATACACGCAAGTGCAGAGGGGAATCCGGAGTGCCGAACTACGCCAACGATCGAAGATCAGGGACGCTGCCGTTTTCGCCAAGGAATCGAAGATAAGGTGGGCCGGACACGTCATGCGATTTTGCGATGACCGTTGGACCAGAGCGGTTACCGACTGGATCCCTCGGGACGTCAAACGAACACCTGGACGACCGCCGGCCCGATGGTCAGACTTCTTCACGAAAGCTCTGAACGAAAGGAATGAAGGACATCGTGTCCCTCGAGCGAGGAGGGTCCACTGGACAACTCTTGCACGCGACAGGGACGAATGGAGACGTTGCTGGCGCCCGCTCGAGCAAATCGATGATCAACGGGACGACAGGTGATACAGGTGATCGTTGGACTTGGGGTTGGGTTGCCATGGGAGTTTACCTTGAGGCTAACGATTTGTGATGTAGAATAGTGCTGTTCAGTGGAGGACTTCTTCAGCGCATGACAGATTGAGAAACGAAATCCATTCCTTGATCCTTTGGAAGGGTTAAAACGAACGTAATAGACTGAATGAAGCACAGGCAATCTAAGGGAGGAGTGAATTGAAAATAGGCTGGACAGTGATGGGTGGGAGGTAGATCCCCTTCACATTTGTGGGCAGTGAGTGTGATTGCTGTGAGGTAGAGCGTTTTGGTGATGTTGGCCATCATTTGGAAAGGGTTAGTCGGGACATTCCTCAGCGCCCTCCGCCAGTGACGCTCATTGTCCGTGCCTTCATCAAAACGCACCCACATGCGCTGCTTTGAGACAAGCTCCTGCTCGTTACTTGCGCTATAGTTCCCGAAGCTCTCCAATCACTCCGTCCTTCTGGCTGGCTTCAGATGTTTCATCATAAGCCCAAATGCTTTTCATGTTGTTTGGTTCTTCTGTGCCACGCGAGCTTAATAATTGGAACTTTCTTAACTGGCCTGACTTTTCGACCTGAAGATAGCTCGGAGCTTTCAATTTTGACCATTCACTCCCGCTTCCAGCGTTTCCGTAGTCGTGTTAGGAAAAACTCGAAATCACTCAATAACGACCCACCAAAGGTTCCACCATCAGCTCACGCCCTGTTGGTAAAGTTCTTATAGGCAGATGGACCTCGCTATATGTAGTCTTATGGTGTTTGAGCATATAATAGGATGAAACCTTTGATGAGTTCTTGATCGGGCACTATTTACCCATTTACTGCCCCACTCCTCGAGAACTGAGCCGGGGTTTTTATCGAAATTTGTCCATGACTGTGGATTCGGCTAGAAACTTGCCTTCAGGGGTAATTCGACCCGTAGAACACGAATATCACATTCGTTTCGCCGCTAGAACGCCTGACGCTCGCGCCAGAAGCGCCGGCGCCAAGAGGCGCCAGAATTCGCGGATCACGAAATTCGCTGGTAGCGAGTGAGCCTGTAGCCTGCGCTACGGGCGCCCGCGCAAAGCTGTTGTGATAGCGCTGGCGCCTGTGGCGCGGGTGCCAAGCGTTGTTGCGCTAAACCGATGTGATGTTCGTATTCTACGGGTCGAAATACCCCGGAAACAACTTTCCTAGCCAAATCCTTAATCATTTTCGATCAAAATCCGGCTCAGTTCTTGAGGAGTGGGGCAGTAAAGGGTAATAGTGCTTTGATCGTCATGTGTCACGTCCCGAGAGCAGGGTCGGTCCTATCGTTGCTACTTTTCGAAATTTTTTACGACCCCCCTCCCCCAAGGTGGATTTGATACGACCCCCTTTTCCCTACCTCCACCATCTCCATCTTCCATCAAGAACCCCGCCCACTTTTTCCTCCAAAAATGCCGTCGAGCGGGGGGGGGTATATAGGCGCCGCTGAAACGGCGCCGCTCCCCACTCATCACATGCAACTTCTTACAATCGAAGCAAGTACGACCCCCCTCTACAAACTCATCAAAATACGACCCCCCCCCGTTGCTACTTGTAGCAACATAGGGTTGACCCTGGCGGTAAAGGGTAAATAGTGCCCTTGATCGTATTGGGTAGTTCCGAGATGCTTCCCACAACGGAAACGCAACAGGGCGAACAGCTAGCTTACAGAATGAAAAGCTTCGAGCTATCTTCAGGCCTCTGAAGAATACGAAAAGGTCAAAACCTCAGGCCAGTTGATAAAGGTTCCAATTATCATTTTCACGTGGTGCAGGAATTTAACATTTCGGCCAATAATTTCGAGGTTCCAACAAGAGATACCAAAGAGGCTTTTCATAGTCTTTGATCTGAACGAATTTCAGCTGCCATATCGTGGCTTTTGGCATCAGAACTGTTCTTAACAAATGCACGAGCAAATGGGAACGCGTACATGGCAGCAGCTAATTGGACGACAAGCAGTCTCGTCGGTTTTCTGTTCCCAATACTTAATGTGAGTTTCTCATTTCATTGTCTCGTAACGCTGCTTCCACACTCCTGTCGAAGACGTTCACGTACTCGTGACATTAGATTTTGGAGGCAGCGAATACGATAGGTTGCGGTAGGGGGGGGGAGGTGGGGACGTGGAGTGCTCAATGCTTCGCCAGTGGCGAAAAAAGAAGAGTTGAGGAAACTCAAAACAGGACCCACTTGCTTGTTTGTTGATTTTCGCTCATGGACAGGCAATGGCTAAGGGAACGGGCATATGAAAGGGTTTACCACAACACGTATGATGGCACCATGCCAATCCATCGCTAGTCAGTTGCTCCAGTTGCGCCGCAACCAGGGGCAACCGTCACTCGCACTTTTTCAAAAATTTTGCGACCCCTAAAGTGAGGTCTCGATGCGACCCCGCCATCACCACCATCAGTGTTAGAAGGCGACCGTCTTCCCCTTTCATCATTACTCGCACCATCATGGCTGTTTCTACAGTATTTAGTTCTGAGACCAGTCGACACAACCCAACTCTGCCCACTTTTCCCTCCAAAACTTTCGTTGAACGGGGGGTTAAATGGAATACTAAGCGGCAATCCCACCAATTCTGCCTTGTTCACGCTACTGTCATAAATTATTCGCTTAAGTCTTCGAACCCCCCCCCCTCAAAAAAAATTTCCTTTCACGACCCCGTTGCAATTTTCCAGAGATAGTCAACCTTGCTCAACCCCATAATGCGACACCAACCCCCCCCCCCTCCGAAAAATCTCAGATGCGACCTACTCATTCAAATAGTGCGAACGGACGGTTGACCCTGCTGGCGGCACAGCAGGCGGCGGCGGATGCGCACGCACATCAGGGGTGCAAATCACGAGATTTACAATGGGTAATGCAACAGGGCCATTGGTGTCTTCGTAGAGCTTCGTGGCAAACTCCGCCCATCTCGGTGCTACCAACCAATAGCACTTGACCTCCCTTCCCAACCTTTATCCACTTCTTCTCGACCTTCTGCGCCCTCTTTGGAACTAATTATAATGTTTCGTGGCAAACTTCGCCTACTTCGGCACAACCCCATCCGCCAATGCCTGTTCACCTTTCTTTCGTTGTTGGCCTCTTCCCCCGTTTTCAAGGGCTCTTGGAACCAAGTTACAATGTTTCCTATATAACTCCGCCCATTCTGATGCACGCCCACCCACCAATAGCTCTTTACCTCCCTTCCATTGTTAGACTACCCAAGTTTTGGACCTTCGGAATCGGTGTGAGGGAAAAGTTTGTGATGGGACCTGTATTTTTTGGTTCTCAGCAAGCTACTTATGTTAAGGCCTAATACTTTTGCGTAGGCATCGATTTGCGCAATTCTAATCGATATTCTTCTGTAAGCATACACGGTAGTTGGGGGGGGGGGAATGTATATGAAAGCAAGTAGTACGAAATGGATGATTCTGCATTGCTTTACGGTATACATATTGGTAGGACAAGTCGTCAGAACGAAGTTTAGAACTGACTTTCCACGAAAACGCAAGCACTCAATCGCTGTTGAATAACTGTACGAATTTAGAACCGTATGCAGCAATATTCATGTCTTGTGTTCACCTTCTCACTTATATTATACTATATGTTTTTTACCAAATACTTACCAGAAGCGAGAGGTAGAAGTATCAGGGAAGTTAACGCGACGTTTCAAACGTGAAGGTAAAGAACTAATTAACAGTATTTATATACAGGGTGCATATGATAAGGTAATATTGAGATTCGGGTCTAAAATCTTGACCCCTTGTATGAAACCCTTCTAACTACGTATAAGACAGACACAAGAATTACTATTGGATAGGGTTTCAAGAGGAGAACTGTTCGAAAAAAAACCTCCACATTTCTTCTCTGATCGTTGAATGTAGCCTTTTGTGGGTGTCCAAAGCTTGTGGAATATCTGTAGACGTAGAAATTTTTCAAATATCTATAAATGAATCGAGGAGTTTTCCGAACTGCTTTGCCATGTCTCAGCGGATCGAACATCTCACCTGACTTCCTCCAATTCGAACCTTTTACCCGATTCTTCCAATGTGTCCTCTAATACATGGTCGTCCCAAGACGCACTTCTTTCCGTGCATCTCAAGACCCTTGTCTACGCCCAACTTACCTCCGACCGTCCACAGAGTGTGGTTTCCATGGGTTCGTTTCTCTTCGGAAACTGAATCTTCTTACGTCAAACGTTGTACATTGTCTCTGTGATCACAACCGACGTACTTATGTTGGAAAGAATGCAAA